AAAGGCAGCATCGGACCTCAATCTCAAACCCTGCGCTTTAAGCCGTACACCGAAAAACTGAAAATCATCCCAAGAGCCCATGATTCAGTCCTATAAGCCAAAGCTCTACGAAAGCCCTATACACCTCCAAATACCCAAAGAAACCCCAAGAAATCCTATTGTGATTGAAAAGCACAGCTTTTATCGCAAAGCCCTTCAACTCTTGTCTTAAGCCCCTAAACTCTTGTCTTAAGCCCCTAAACCCTAGAAGCCCTAAACCCAGGGTCCTCGCGGATGCAATCTAGGAGCCAGCCCCGCGCCTCTCTTAGCTTGGTCATCACCTCCACGAGCTTTTGTAAGGGGCTTCTTTGGAGCTTAGGGGTTTAGGGTTTAGGGGTTTAGGGTTTAAGGCTTAGTTTAGGGGTGTTGGGTTTAGGGTTTAAGGCGTAGTTTAGGGGTTTAGGGTTTAGGGCTTATAGTTTTGGAGTTTATCAGCGTTGAGAAAAGCTTCTGTTTGGTTAACTTTTATGGGTTTACGGTGGGCTGGGAGGCTTAGATTGTGAGGTGGAGAAAAGGTTTCTGGGAGGTTAAAGTCTGCTGTCCAGGCTGTGGGCGTTTACGGCTTAGTGTTCAAAGTCCCGCTTCGGGTTACTATGGGGCATTGCAGTACACATTTCCAAACACTCTCTCTCGCGCCACATTTGCGGGAGTAGGGTCGTGTGTTCAGGCCGAGGGCTTAGGCATTAGCTTGTCTAAGTATTTTCTCAGTCTTTGTCAAGCCTTTTGCACCTGGCGTGCAACGTCACGCCAGGACGGCTGACTCTGTCAACCCGAAACCCTTAACTCTGTGTCTGGACTGTGAGACCGTAAAGGAACCTCGAAAGGAGCCATGACAGGTGTCTGGACTGTTAGACCGTAAAGGAGCCCATGACAGGAATCGTTCCGGGAACCCTGCTCGTAATCGTTACACGAACTCTTATAGCAACCCGGCTGCAGATTTTCTAAAGCAAAGATGGAGACGAGAACGTTTGAATCTTTAACGGCCTGGCCCTCGCCCTGCGTCCCGGTGGGGTTTGGGTATGTATAGGCCTGCAGTCGAGGAACCTTGCAAACATGCTGCATCATCGAAATCTTCACCCACTCTTTGCAGATGAAAAGACAGACCCCCGCCCCCCCCCTTTCAGCGAAACACAACTGTGAAGAGGCCTCTTCTGGGGGCGCATTGCTTCCGGGACGAAGAGCAGAGATGTTCAGGCTCATCTCCTTTGCTTATTTTCCGTGTTGGTTCGGCTTGGAGTGAGTAGCATCTTTTGTTGAGCACCTCAACCTGACATAGCTGTCTGCCCGAGCTCATGTGAGCTCTGTTACCAGCATACACTCTACACAAGAATTCTCGCATTTTACGGGGATCGCCTGCAGCCGAGCTCAATGCTACAGGAAGTTAAAACATTGCACAGGACTGAATCGATGCCGAACCGTCCAGAAAACATTCTCAATAGCCGAGCTTCTAGCAAAGCGACACCGTTCCTTGCCGAGTGCATTTTCGTCTTGGGGTCAAGTGATAACTGTCTGAGTGGGTCAGCAGCGGGGTGCTGGTGAATCTTAAGGAAATGCCGCTATTATTCCGGACTTGGCAGTTCACGAAGCTTCGCTGTGGTAACGGGTCGCTGGGGCACATACACTTCACATCTTCAGTCAAAGGCGTGAGTCGTGTTTTGTTGAAGCATGTGCAAGGCATGAGCCTGGCTACCGCAGGGACCTGACAGGCCTCAGCGATTTCGAGATCGTTCGGCCAACCGATGACTGCGATTCGAAAAGATCGTCACAGTACTTCTGTAACGCGTCTCTGGAGACTCGAGAGAGCGACGCCTTCTGCGCAAAAGCCTGGACTAACAAACCAAAGCCTAAAGCCATGACTCCAACATCTTGAACCAGCCTCGACATGGGAACACCCTTGCCATGCATTTCTGCTGCACCCATGACTAACAACCCAAACTAAAGGAGCCCTAGCAGAAAAGGCCTCTAAACGGCTTGCAAATTAACCAAGTTGACAAGCGAACTCCGCCAAACCTCCAGCTTAGGCAGATCTTGGGTCGCGCTATATAACTGTATACCCTAACCCCCCAGGTACCTACTATATAGGGTACTAGAGCCCCTAGGGCCCTATACTTACCTTCTGAGTGGCCCGGGCACAAAAAGTTTGAACTTTTCGGCCTATCTCAAGAAGATGCTACAATGTCCGTCGTTAGCTCATGCACTGATTCCTTTTCCAGTCAGCGCCGCATCCGGGGTCAACTAGTCCAATCTAGAACCTTTCAGTTTTCTATTGCCTGAAACCTACCACTGAAACCTGTAAGAATGAGTAAAGAAATCTATGCATGTTGAAACCGGCCCAGCTCATAGTGCAGCACGTTCGCCTGGCGAGTTTGAGCTAGAGATCAGGATTGAGGCAATTCATCGTCGCACTGGCTCAAACGATAACAGCAGCCCTGATTCAACTCATGTCCTGGAGGCCACCAAGACCTATGTCGAATTCATGGCCCTTTGGCTATGCTACTTAATCTGCAAATCAGCCACCGACGCAGATATTTATGGAGCTTCAATGGTTAGGCGGAGACCCGCCTGCAATGAGCTGTGCAAGCACCTCAGCCACAGAAGGAAAGCACAGACTTAGGAGTACAATCGGGAGGACAATCAGCAGTGGCAGGCTTTGCTTCGTTCTAATGGCCACTTTTTTTGCGCTGGCTCATGCCTCCTGCGGCAACTCGGTGAGAAGCATGCCGATACTATGAACCGATGCACGCTTGGCAGGTTGCATGGCCGTGCCTTGTATGACCAACCTTTGGCCAACTTCACGACCCCAACAGCGATTCTCTAGCATAAGCTGAAGGCGAGCTTCTATCAACGTCGTCCATGCTTTTTCAAGCTGGGATCTCAACACTTGCGGCTGCTTTGAAAACAATTTCTGACAGTGCTTCGGATCTGGAAGCAAAAGACTTCCTGTGAGGGCCTCAAAGACTGTGCACGCCCAAGCAAACACGTCCGCTTTAAAGTCCAGCTTGACCTGGGGCAGGCACTTAAGGGGCGGACGACGCCGTTCCAGCATTAGGTTAGCTCTTGATTCTTTATTTAGACTGTCCCCGGGTCAAAAGAAAGAACATAGGACAACACCATTCCGGCCTTTGTCTCCAAGGATGACCAGCATTCGGGAGGGCGGTATGGTGCAGTATAAGTGTAACCACCCTCGACATGAAATTGCTTCTCGACGCCACTGCAAGTTAGAGCCAGTCCAAAGTCGCTGATGCGAGCCAACCGCCTCTCTTCGAAGAGGATGATGTTTCGCGGCTTGAGGTCAGCATGTAAGACGGAATGGGCATGGAGGAACTCCAGCCCCGACCCGATCTGCCGCACAAGATTCCATGCCTTCCTGTTGCCAGGCGTCTCTTGACAAAAGTCATGCAAGGAACAGTCGCCAAGCGGCATGAGCAGCACGGCAGCGGTGTCAGGAACCCTGGAGAACATCGCGCCATACGTGGACATGATGTGAGGATGAGCGACACCTTGCATGATTCGAGTCTCAGCCAGCAGATCTCTGGAGTCGTTGCAGCAAGCCTTCGCAGCATACTCCAGCCACCCGTCGGTCGCAGCCTTATTTGGCTGCGATGAGTTTGCATCCTCTACACTTCACCGTCCAAACACTTAAAATCACTAGAAAACCGAAAACCTTAAAAGATTTTCACGAAGGCGCATAAACCTTGCCGCAGGCCCCGGAGCCCAACAGCCGAGTGCAAGTCAGGGCAAAGTTTCCATGGAGCAAATCGCTGGGTGCATGCTGCATGCGATGGTTCGCTTCGTCCACACGGGCAGCGGGAGCGGGCAACTGCTCTTCATCTTCTCCTTCGTCTCCAAGCAACTTCGCTCTAGTCTCCTTGTAGGGAGCACGAGGGCAACAATTGTCGAATCGGAAGCATGCCTTGAAACACCACTTTAGATCTACTCCTTCGTCTGCTTTGCTGCTTGGCCAGCCGCCTCATGGTAAGGGCGCTTCTGCTCATCGGTCATCACCGACCTTATACGGCACCAGTTCATGCATGCAAGTCTCATAATGATTGAGCCTGTGCTGGCTGATGGGTGTGTGCGTTCTGTGCAAATGTGCATACGCTGCTGTGCTGCCGAAGCGCCAAAGCATCTTGGCCCGGACAACAGAGTTGCCGCTGCTTTTACCTATGATTCTACGCCGATGCTTCTCCTTCATGAAGACGGCAAACGCCGACGGAGGACGTTTCACGCCCAGCTTCTTGTTCGGTGTATACCAGTACTCTTTCGTTCTAGGCGCCATGCCACGGCACGAAAATATGACAAAGATGGTGCTGGCTATATTGGTGCACCTAGCAACATCGAGTCCCCATGGGTTGAGCGAACAAGTGCCGTTGCAGACTTTCCAGGGTTCCCGTCTGACAGTCTGTATAAGCTTCTGATTCTAATTCCGCAGACTATTAGAATTCTATTTCTTGATTCACTGCTGCTCAAGTCACACGTGTAACTAAGCTTTTGCTCTCGCAATTTGTGACAGCCCGGCCGTCGCGGTTTTGAGCAACATAGCTGTGACCAGCAGAGAATGTGAAACAGCTCATGTCGGGAGTCCGCAAGTCAAAGATCGCACCGTGCACACATGCTCCCTCGTTGACACTCGCTGATTGAAAAACATCTTTCAGAAACGTCCATCCGCTGATCTGTGCTTTGACTGAGTGTCAGGCCGGAGACTGCAAGGATCAGCCTCAACTCAATCTGAGATTCTGGCGACACATACACACACACGGTTGCAAGCAATGCTACGTCACAGGCAAGCATAGAGAAACGATGGTTAAGATTTTCCTTCCTTTCTCTGCACGATAGGTCGCTGAGGCTTTCCAAAACTGCTGCCACCAAGCAGAGGTTTCCGAGCTAACTGAACAAGCTCGCAGGTGTTCCGCCAAAATCTTTTGCGATCTCACGCTCACGATGCCACTCAGTGGCCGGACTGCAGCTGACGCTGATGCACGAACGGCAGCAACACTTTGACCAGTGCTGCCACTGACATCGTGTTTCCGGTCATGTCATACAATTCCTTGTCTGACCAGAACCTGGGATCTCAGGAAAGCCTATAAATGAAACCCACCCCACCACCGCCCGTGACCCCGCAAAAAGATATAGATATATTATGTATTGAGTGAGAAACTTGAGCATCTCATCCTTGACGTCTTCTGGCATATATCCCAACATCTGGAAGTGAAGAGACGGTGACAAAATCTTGCCCGTGGTAAAGTCCAAAATTCGTGTCGCTGTGGTGAGGGTGAACCACTCTCCAGTACAACATATCTTGCCCCAGGCAGCGCTTTGACTGATGTCTGCCAGAGGTAGCGGGTCCGGAATGTAATCTGACTTGAGCTGGGCCTCGAGCATCATATGCAGCACGTCGGCGTTCGCGAGCTGCCATGCAGTGGCACCAACCAAGCCCTGCAGCTTCTGGCTCGGGCGATCGACGACTCGGGGCACGTCTGTGTCCTTCGGAATTTTGCCCGCGTCCATCGCCGAGGTCAAGACAGATGCGAACCTTTCATGATATTCGGATTCAAACTGCCACTGATTGAACTCCTCGACTTTTTTCTCACCCTTTGCATCCGGCTTGGGATTCCCCGACCCCTTCCCGATACCCATGGTGCGAAGGTGATGGACTGGCATCGTCGAGGCTTGCTTCTCCAAAAGCATTACTTCTTCAGCCCACTTGTCTGCTTGATAAGCACCGCTTGAACGCAAAGTACCGAGGATGTACACTCGCTCTCGCTTCTCTGGGAGTGGGCGGGAGCTCACATCGACTGCAGCGACCTGATAGGCCCCGTCGTGTAGGCCAGTCAGAACTGCCATGTAGTGGTCCAGTGGGGTCGCCCGCCTGACGGGCTCCTGCTCGTCCTCCGCCTTCTTCTTCACGGGCTTCCTGTGAACCGGTCTATGTGGGATTAAAGTCTATTGTGAATGTTTCAGTTTGGATATCCCAGCCGGCCTGACACCAAGCACATTCTCGAGGATAAAAAACTTCGGTTTGTTGTGCAGGATGGAGGAGACGGCTTGTTGGAACGTGGCCTCCGACACCGACGTTTCTGAGTTTGTCGGGTCCTGCTTGTACCGCTTCGCCGCGTTTTGTACGGAAGAATCTTTGCACACCCATCCGGCGATGAAAAGTTCCCCCCCCGGTTCCAATGCACAGCGCTGTCCATGTTTGTTACACCAGCCGCCTGCTGCATCGCATGTGTGGGCCACGTCCTGTTGCATGAGCCGACAACACCCTGAAATTCAAAAGGAAAAAATCGCACAACCTTCGCTGCACATCTGTCCTCGTAGAGGTGGCCTGGCCGACCCCGCCGCAACGACCATGCTGCTGCTGCTGGAGCTATCTCGGCTCCCCAGGCGTGGGAACTCCCTTTGCCCAGGAGAGCTTGCAGGACGTAGCCTGGTGTATTCAGGCCGTCGAAGGCGGAGCTCCAGCGTAGCGCTGTCTCCGGCTGTACCCAGCTCTCTGCCGCTGGCGAGAGCACCTTCAGCATGTAGTCGATAAACTGGCTGAGGACGAACTTTGTCATTGTCATAGGCGTAACTTTACGCTTCTTGGCCTTCACCTCCGTCTTCTTCGTGCATGCCGGCTTCTTCATAGCACGAGCTGGAGCTGTTTTTTTCATCCCCTTGCCCATGGCTTTGACACAAAAGTCAGAAATGTGACGTCTGGATAGGACTTGCTGCTCGAGCTGACGGCCCCATGGTTTCTTGTTTGTTTGACTTGGGAGAAAAAATCAGGGACCTTATGATTCTTGGCGCAGCTTGCTGACTACAAGTAGCTGTGCCCTAAACTACAGAAGACTCACATCACGCTGTGCTGCAGACTCATTAGCCATTGCAGGGAGAATTCACTCGAGACAGAACATGAGCACATGTCTGGGATATCCGTGGTCAAAGTCATCTTCAAATATCTGTCTGAGACTACCTTGGTCGAACGTTGGGAATGCGACGAGTAGCTGGGCCTCTAGGTTTTGCATTCGGGATCATTTCATACGGTGCTGCCTGAAGTCTACGACGTAAGGAGTCGAGCAATGTGACGGTGCATACCATGACGGCTAATGTGCACAATAAGCATATGACACACCCAGTTTTATCCCTCCACAAGACAAGCGAGGCAATGATGAATTCAGGTATTTTTATTTACAGTGCCCCACGTCACGTGCGGCGACTTCAGGGGTAGGCTGCCGGCATTATGCAGCAACGTACAATTGTTCTATCGAAGGAACCGACGAAATAATAGCTATCTTGGACCACAGTCGCAGAACGAATCAGAAGCGCATATCTGCACCCTGACTTGAGGCCGCGGCGCACGCCGCAGATATCAGATACCTGCCACGCAATTATTTAATAATAGGCCCTCGACGCACTTGTGCAATAGTGATCTGAGCGACGATGCAAACATGACGGACTAAGAGTCGGCGCATAATGCCCCAACTGTCTTTCTCACAAATACCGATCGGAAGCTCAGCAGAATATGACATCGCGGACATCTGCATCGCTTTTTATGGACGGTGCCTCTTGCTTCAAAACTGTCTTGCAAATGGGCTTGTCATATCGTGACAACACAATATTACTAATATCCAAAAGTATATCGGGAAGTCTCTGGAAGAATGTTACTTAGAAGATACTGATACTTCTCTTGCCCAGGAGGCTTTGCAGGGCGAGACTAGGACATGGTCTTAGTTTATCTGACTGGCATTGGGCATCAAACCCGAGAAAATTGCGACGACGAGGATCCGCATCTGCATTCTCAGTTGCCCCCTGGATACTCTACTATTTGCAAACACTCCTCACACCCCCACTTTACACAACCATGCAGCTGTATGAGACCGAGCAACGCGCCATGCTAATTTACCCTTTCTGTTTCTCATCATCATGAAGACAAGCAGAAATTTTGGACTGCTCGAAGCCTGCCTGCATGCCCCAAACGACCCCTTGCTGAATCTCTACGGAGGACATCAGTCCCTGCTTTCGTCATGGAGCCCCGGATGCAACTAATTGTTACGAACAGGGGAATCACTTGCAGTGTGACATCACAGGCTGAAGGAAAGAATGCCTCACCGTACACGCTAAGACTGAGAGCTGGGGCACACACACTGCGAAGTTGTCACCTTGCCGGCTGCAAAGCCTTTCCAAGCAGTTCTTGCAAGTGAAGTTGCCGACCCAAAGCGCGGTGGTGAAGGCTAAGGCTAAGAAGGAGGTTGCTTGCGAGCTGCTAGCACTGTCACGATGAAAGTCTGGATTTTCGTCTGACGCGCAAGGTCGGGCATCTGCATATTGCCCTTCGGAACGGCTCTGTGCTGTAAAGTCAAAACTTACACTGAAGGATCTGAGATCCGGTCAGTCAGGCAAGGCTGCATTCAGGAGAACCGCTGCTACAGGTTTTGGCAGGGAAGCCGCCAATATGGAAGATTGAGTCGTCTTCGGGCTCACAAGATTGAAATTGAGCGCATGCCCTGTCCAGCCAATCATGTTCAAGCACTCTGTCGGCCCAAGAACGTAGACGAAGTCTTGATTGGCCGGCTTTGCCATGATGATGCTTCTAGCAGTCAGCTGGGGAGGCACGATGCCGATCTTCCGCTTGGCACTGGTCTTTTCTGCTGCCACAAACCAGGTCTTGGGAGCACGTGGCAAAGCCTTTAGCTCATTCTGTGCATCCGAAATCAAATCCAAGCGGGACTTCTTCTTGGCTGGCTCTTCGCCTTCTGCAGCCTCAGGCACGGCATCGGGGATGTACATTGTGCACCTTGGATCGTCCCGACGAAGTTCCAGGGTCGGCCAGGACTTGGCCGCTTTCTGAAGGCAAACTTCCAGACGCTGTTGGATGCCTTGCCTGTCTTCCATCCCTTTCACGAGGAGGAGAATGCAACTCTCACCGGAGCGGAGGCTGCCCAATGTTTCCCAATGCACAAGTTTCATCCCCATGAGCCAACCAGACATTTGAAAATCGGATTCGGCAATCTTCCCATTCACAGCCAAAGCGATCGTTGTGACAGGAAGCTTGCTAGCCTTGTCTAGCACTGTCTGCAGTGTCTTGACATCGGCGGAACCAATAAGCACGCACGGCTCCTTGACCTTCTTGGCCGCATATTTCTCGAGAACCACACTGCCGAACCTACTGTTATATCTAATCCTGGCAAAGTCCCGAAAATCTTCCATGTTGTCTGCCATGTGAAGGGACGAAGTGTGCCCGAGAGCCATGGCACAGTTCAAGCCTGAACCGTACCAGATGATTCCTGGGAGAGCCATGGCAGCACGGCAAGGTTGTTTCACGGCGAGGGTTCAGGCTCGTAGCAGCGTTCTCGAACCGTGACTCACGACGGACGAGAGTCAAGATGTAGTCGCGAGGTCAAACGAGAAGAATGTGCATAGTGGACTGTGTGTAGCGAGCTGGGCAAGATTTTCTCAATCCCCTGAACCATAATGCCAACGCATTTCTCAGCTGCACCCTGCCTCTCCGGTGCCCAGGCAAATCGTGTGGCGGAATTGGAGCCTGGCGAATTAATTCATGGCGCAAAAATGGATATCGAACTTTAGTCTGCAGTAACAACCACCTGCCGGGTGCGACTTTCTAAAGTTATAATAAATGTTTCAATGACATTGAACTATTGAACTAATAATATATTATGATGGTCCTTTCTCAAATCTCCAAATCTGATTTGCTATCAGCATTCCCCATACCCGTTGAGTGAATGAGATTCTCAAGCCACCTAACAATAATAGCCAAGGCTGGATTCATAACTGCTTGTCGACTATTATCATTACCTATTCGCATCATCCTGAGATCAGCTGGCATTACCGAACGAGAAACTAACATAGCGAAGCAGTGACTTGCATTGAGATGGCCACACGCACGGACAAGGGTTTCTCTCACTTCTACTTTAATGACGTCGATTTTTAGCATGATGTCTCATACTACGATGAGTTCAATCATCACAAACTCCGCCCTGTCCTCTGTGTCCGCCGAAGGATGCCGAAAGCCTGCCACGGATAACGAAGATGACTTCAAACTATATGCACCAGCACTTGAACTTGTCAGGCATCCAGAGCGGTGACTGCCGTCCTATTAATACAGTAGGTTCTGTCGGCTACAAATCACATTCTCCAGCCACTTATTCAGAGTGAATGCTGCAGTCATCTCCCGTTTTTCAGCAATGGCCATGACGTGCTCGGCGATTGCTCTCGTCGAAAATTAAAAAGAGAGCCAAGTCTCTTGAACCTGTCTCCGCACAAGCACATGCCACCGACAAAAACCAACACATTTGCAACATGCTGCTTTCCATTGTGATGATGATACGCACTTACCGCTTATCCAAGTAAGCGCAGGTTTCGGCAGAAGATTTGTGCTTGCATCACTGTCATGAAAGAGGCCACAGGGCCCTGAATCTTCGGAACACCCGAATGCGGCACGCCTGCATCTTAAAATCGCACGGACCAATCACCCCAGCTCATACAAAATCCAGTAAGGTCCCTAAGACCTCTGGCAAGCCAGAGAGGCTCAGTTATTATCTTCACTCATGTCCGCCTCCTCATCTTCCTCGTAGTGCTCGTCTTCTTCATCCACCGTCGGCTCTTGGCCAGCTGGGCTGGGCGCTGGGACTGCTGTCACAGAAGGCGTCGGTGTCCCAGAAGTTGCCGGTGGCACAAAAGTCGCAGGTGGCACAGAAGTCGCAGGTGGCGCTACAGCTGGCGCTGCAGCTGGCGCTGCAGCTGGCGCTGGTGCAAGATGAGCCCGGTAATACCGATCGCTCGCTTCTCGCACACTCTCGCGGGCCACCATGGATGTCAAGGCCTCCGACAGGATATCCAAGTGCTCCTTCGATCTCACCACCGCCAACGTCGTCAGCTTCTGATCGAGCGCCGCCGCAAGCTGATTGAAATCAGGGGAGATACTCACCAATCGCGAGACGGAGAGGAGGTGGCACAGCTCCTGTCCCCAATATCCCCGATTCCCAGTCTTGAAAACAAATAAGCTCGAACATCAAATATTGGGAGCTTTGGCAGTCCTTGTGCACGGCCACGTGCCGCGAGAAGTAATTCAGCGGCTGCAGTTCCTGTAAAGCCGTGCGGTTGTCCTATATTTGACAAACTACCTCCACCCTTCAACTTAAGTGCACGGCCTCGTCCAGAATTTCAGCCGCATGATGCTGCTCGCTTCCTTCTATGATGGGTTTCGACTCCTTGCTGCCCTTGCCGGTCTGCTTGAAGAGAATCTGAGCTTCAGACCAGGCTGAGAAATCAATCTTAAGAGTGTCAAGCATGAAGCAGCATGCAGGAAGCATATGCCGGTGAGTGCAAACGGAAGACCTGCTCCTTCATTGCTTTTGTGACCATTGGCTGAAGAGAATATGGGGATGGCAAAGGGACTGTCATCCACGGAGCTGAAGAATCCGGGATCCTCAGCAGGCGCGGCCGCGCAATCCAATTCAACTTACCCTAGGCGTCCATGACGACAAATG